CCGAGGCGGGCGGATTGTTTGAGCTCAGGAGTTCGAAACCAGCCTGAGCAAGAGCGAGACCCCGTCTCTACTAAAAATAGAAGGAACTTAATCAGACAACTAAAAATATATAGAAAAAATTAGCCGGGCATGGTGGCGCATGCCTGTAGTCCCAGCTACTCGGGAGGCTGAGGCAGGAGGATCGCTTGAGCCCAGGAGTGTGAGGTTGCTGTGAGCAAGGATGACGCCACAGCACTCTAGCCCGGGCAACACAGTGAGACTTTGACTCAAAAAAAAAAAAAAAAAGGGATGGATAAATGAGTATACGTGGCCTTCTATCACTCAGCATCACCTAAAATTTACTTGATGTTTTAATGTAGCGTGCCAGTCTTTAGTGCTATTTACTGAGTATTTCTGGAGCTCTATGTCTGGGTATGTGATAGGATTGCATAATTAGCACTCCCAGTGTCTGGCTGAAGCCAAGTGATTGTGGCCAATGAGTGTGAGCAAACGTGATGTGTATCTTCTGGGCCCAAGGATGCAACTGCCAACATGAGATCCGCTGGAGCTCTCGTTCCCACTTCCATAGCAACCAACGACATAAGAGCTTGAGGTTTCTCCATCAGCCTGGAGCTCTGACAAAAGTGACACAAAGCAACTTACCTGCAGTGAGTAGGTGACATAGGCTAGGTCATATTCCCTGCATTCACAGACTTACTTTCCCTATCATACAAATGTAAACTCTTTTAACATAATCAACTGAAGAGACATTTCACTTTCTATGAAATAAGTCAAATTTATGTTGTAGACCCACAACCAATTTGATTTCTGACAGTCAAGTCAGCTTTTAAAAGTCAAGTTAAAAATAACCAGTTTGATATAATGACCATAATAAATACTGTGTGAATAAAGATAGAACACTTAGGGTAAACTATGTTGTCAAGAAAAATCTTTGCATTAAAATTTTAAAGAATTCAAAACTAGAAATTTTTAAAACTTTTAAATAGTTGCATGTGAATCAAGGTAAAGAATAGCATTATAACAAGTCATACAATTAAAAGAGATCTTTTTTTGTCAAGTGTGGTGGTTCACACCTATAATCCCAGCACTTTGGGAGGCTGAGGCAGGGAGATGGCTTGAGGCCAGGACAGCAGCCTGGGCAGCACAACAAGACCATGTTTCTGCAAAAAGTAAAAAAAAATTAGCTGGGCATGGTGGTGCACGCCTGTAGTTCTAGCTACGTGGTAGGCTGAGGTAGGAGGATTGCTTGAGCCCAAAAGTTCAAGGTTACAATGAGTTATGATCATACCACTGCACTGTAGCCTGGTCTACAGAGTGAGATCCTGTCTATAAAAAATAATAATAAAATAAAATAAAGAAGTCTTCTTTAACTCTTTTGTTACATATATAATCATGTGTGATATAGTAATACATTCACATGCAATTGTATAATATAAATATTAAAGGGTACAATATAGAAATATACATGTTTTTAAGAGATAAAAATATCACTGTGGTAGCTTTAAAGTAGACTAATTTGGCTGATGGGTTTTATTTTTCACTTTCTAAATCTATAATTAAATATAGACTTTGAAAATTTATTAAAAGCTATGATAGATTTTGACCCTAAAATTTTGTGGACCATAATAATTAAACATAACTTGGTTAATACCAAGCAGTTTTATCTTTCACAAATAGTACAATCAAAGCTTCTATTCTAAAATCTCAGGAAATTATTACAAAGCAATATTTAACTTCTTCCAAACAGAGTGGTTTGAGTTGCTTTTAACCATTTTTCCCTAACATATGATTTCATGGTTATTGTGGTGTATATTGCGTGAATCCCCTGCAAGGTAATACACCTAATGGAACTTGAGGTGTGTTTGATATTGGTTAGTCTTTTCTGGAAGAGCTGATTGTTTCCCATGAGAATGAAAAAGATGTTACACTGAAGTCTATTGTTTCAGATGGCTAATAGATAAATTAACTGTCCAGGCAAGAAGAGTAAATAGAAATAATTGGGCATCTCTTTGCTTATAACCTAATCTTATAACCCCTATGTAGATAGTGTCATGTGAATACAGATTAGTGTTAAACTTGTTAAAGGCTCTGGAATTCAAGGTTTACACCCTATTTTTATTCTCCAGTTTATTTCTAAATGTAATAAATAATTTGAGAGGTCTACTAACATCATTTTGTTAATAAATACAGAGAAAAATCTGAAAGAATTTCATGGGGCAATGTAGGCAGTAAAAGGGTGCCACTGTGAAAATTAAAATATTGCTGGGGTCATGGATTTAAAAGATTTGTAGGTATTCTCTACCAAATTTGCCAGATTTTTTTTTTTTTTGATCCTATGACACTGAACTTTTGTCATCATTTTGAAGATTATAAACCAAACCTTCTCCATAATGATGTCAGGAAATACAAGAATCAAATACTGGCATGTTGGCCCATTGACAATTCCAATACTTAGGTCTACAAAGCTCATTTACTTTTTTTTTTTAAGAGTGGCCTCTCTCAATGGGAGAACACGATGATGCAATCTGAACAAGGTACCCAAATAATCACCACTCTGGTTCACATAATGTGTCTTTTAGACGCGTCCTAATAAGTTACCATTGACACACTACTAGGAAGGCTGTCTGGTCCAGAAAAAATATGCTCAACTAGACCATGAAAAACGTGATTGCAGATATGGCATATGCTTGACAAGCCGTGGAACACCAGCTGGGCCCTGCTTCCTCCAGGAAGCTCCCGCTGGGTGGTGGGATGGCATCCTTCCAAGGGCAATGGTTCCCTTTAGGCCACCAGAGAGTCGGAAGAGTTGGGTCCTCATGGTTCATTGGATCCATGCGGTCATCACACAGATGCACATTGTGAGCAGAAGTTGAGAGTGGGCCCAGCCTGATATTCCCCCACAGGCTTGTTCTTGTCTTTTACATCTATCCATTCCCACAGCCCAGTTTGCAGATTGCTGGTCACAACTTTTACTTTGTTTTCGAAGGCAAAATATTCAGATTCCACAACTATTAGGCATCCACCCAGTGCTTCTTTTGACCTTATGTAATTTAAACCTATTTCCTTCCTTACCTTCTTAAAGGAGGCTTAATGGAACTTTGAATTTTTTCTCTTGCAAAAATTCTTACGGTTTTTGTCAAAAGAGATTTGAAATACAACGTGAAATGATGTACTCACGTCCCTCACCACCATCTCCAAATAACTGAATTACATAAATAAAACATTACATAAAAAGTGCTTTGCTACAATTTATGGGAGGTAAATTTAACAAGAGCTGGCTCATTGTGGGAAAATTCAACTTATCTTTTCCTGATCCTTTTATTTTATACAGGGAGAGAAATTTATGTCAGTTTTAAAAAAATCTATTACTGCTTCTCATAACTGAATCCATTATTTTTCTCCATGATCCATCAGGTAAAAACAAGAATAATGGATTGCTTTGACAGAACCTTGAACATAAATGTCCCTAAGAATCAAACACAGTAAGTTAAACGGGTTTCATGTGGTATTAAAACAGGAAAGGATAACCTTCCTTTTATATTTCAAAATCAGATCTTACTAAAAAATTTATTATTATTAGCTACTACAAAGAGACGAATTATATAGTAGTTGAATTTGCACAATGGAAATGGGAAAATTTCCATTCAGTCCTTTATATGCCCAAGCAGAATTGAACACGAATAAATGAACTTGAAAAAATGAACTATTTTCTTTTAATTTTTACTAATTGGTTATTTATAATTTGCTCTTTGCTTACATTAGACTAGATGACTTTAAATAAATAACTGAAGTTGTACACAGTCAACTGATTAAGATCAGTGTTGATCTTATCTTACAAATATTTTCTGCTAATAAAGGAATTGAGGGGTTTTATAATCTTTAGCTCTACATGACCTATTTTAGTCCAAGGTCTTCAGAAAAGTGTATATGCACACACCTACCTGCCACATATACATATACACATATATATGTGTGTGCGTGTGTGTGTATATATATATATAAACATATATATATAGAGAGAGAGAGAGAGAGAAAGGAGGGGGTTGAGATGATGATGACAGATGTATAGATGGATGGACAGATCAATAGATATTAAACAGATGAATAAACAGATACACAGATTGATAAAATCTAACAGTTAATTCATCTCAAAGGATTTTCTCCTCACTGGACACTTATGCAGCAGCTAACATTCTCTAATCTTATTCAGAAAAGCCAACCTCTGAACCTGCTTCTGGGGAAGGTAACCACATTCTCAGCTTCAGTCTTAGCATTTATTCTAAGCCAGTTAGCACATAGCATTCACATTAAGTCTATTATTGGTCCAGGGCTGGCATATGACCCAAGTTTGCCTGAACAAGAAAATAAAAATGATTTTTATCCAATATTGGGAGAGACGTTTCCCATTTTCTCCTGCTAGATGAGGAAAAGGAAACAAGGAGCCCCAGTTTTACAATGACAGGCATCTGTTACCTGGAAATGAGGACAATGCTGATGGCAGAGGCCAAAGTTGGAAAGGACTTGGGCCTTTACTGACATCATTTAACTGCTGATTGTATTGTGCCTGGAGCCCTCACTACCTCCCAGTTAAAAGAGTTTGCAGATTTATTTATTAATCCACTTTGAATGTGGGTTTCTGTAACTATTTAGGTAGGCTCTTGTCTTCTAAAGACAGAAAAGAGAATATACTGAAAATATCCTGTTTTCTCATGGCTTTCATTCATAATGCTTTACATCAGAAGATCTTTGAATATATATTTGATTTTGAAACCACCTTAGAGAAGTCTCCCTAGTCATCTAATGAGGCAGAGAATTTGATACACCCATTGCTTCAGAAGATAGTAATGTTACAAAGGTTAATGCAAATTTAAGTTGAGTAAAATTCCTTGCCCTACCAGACAAAAAATATAGTTTCATAACCAAGTTCAGACATTATTTCTAGTCTCTCGTTCTGAAATAGAGTTTGACCTGTTTTGCAGTTCATTTAAAACTCTGGCCTATATGCCAAAAGGTACTTCTTTTTTTTTTTTTTAAATTATTCAAAAGTCCTAAGCCATAGCAATTCTATTGCCCTCCTCTCGTTTTTCTAAACTATTTTGATACTTATTTCTTAGACTTGGCAGGCTATTAGATGTTTTTCACATATTTCCATAGGCAATAACTCATCAGCTTTGCAACCTGATTCTCAACATTAAGGGATTAACACTAATGTAGATGATTCTCAGATGACACATACTGAGGTATAGAAAAAATCCCATCATTTCCTTCTACAAAATGAGAAAGATTTTAATTCGTTTTCTCAACAGCTGTTTCATTTTTTTATGCATAGGAAAAAAATATGTGCAATTACTCCAAGTACAATCAAGTCATTTAACATGGCTTTACCATCATTGTAGTTACAGGATATTTTAAAAGAGAAAAAAAATCTCAAAGCACAGGTCCTGCTGTGCAGCAAAGCAATCAAATTCCTTCATAATAACAGTCTGATGGGATTCAGCAATCCGAGGAATAATGAATAACCACTGTAATCAGTAAACAGGAAAATGCTACAACAGTCACTGAGTAAAAACTGGCTATCATCTGTTGATTCTCTTGATCGGCATTTCAGACAATAAATAGAAATGTAAGCATCTCTTAAAAAGAAAAATAACTTTGTTTAGTGTGCTTAATTTTACCAGGCAGTGAGAAAATGATATATCATCTTAGACTGTCCTACAGTGTTGCCCAGTCAATAAAATGCACAATCTTTTTCATAATACCTGGCCAAATTTACCCTATCATTTTCATATGTCAAGATAAACTGATTTTGCAGTTGGTCGATAAAGATTGTATTTCTAGACTGATTATTCAATTCTTTTTTTGCTACTTCATTATTTAATATTCTTCCTCTGTGTTCATCTTATGAAGTTATCTGCATCTGAATATGAAGAGTCTGTTTCAAAATAGTCCTCAAGTTTCCAGTGCAGTGTCTCGAACGTTGGTCGTGCCTTAGGTTCTGCATTCCAGCACTCCAACATGATGTTGTAGAATTGCTGTGGACAGTTAGATGGTTGCGGGAGTCTGTAGTTTTGACCCAACATCTGGATCACCTGAGCACCTGTCATACCTAAAAAATATAGAATAAATCCAACAACAACAAAAAAAAGTTAAAGATCAGAGTCTTAAACTCAAAGACGCTTATACTCTAGGTTACAAAGCAAATCAATTTCCCTAGCAAAGCTATGAGGTCTACCATTCCCTTCCCAGGTTGCAGAGATAAAACTAAATCCTGCGGCAAGTAATGTCTATAAGACTGCAATTCAATAGCAAAGAAGAGAGAAGCAATAAACCACCTCATTAATGCAAATTATCATCATCAAATTTTATCTATCAAGCTCCCACGGGTACATGGTGTGGTCAGCCTCATAACTTTGCCCTCTAAGTCTGGGCAAAGCAGTTAAAGTCACACCTAAGTAAGTGACCTGCAGGAAAAAGGCCCACTTCAGAATTAATTACTCACCACTATAAGGCATTTTGCCATAAGTAATGATTTCATAAAGAAGAATTCCAAATGACCACACATCGGACTTAATGCTGAATTTATTAGCACGAATGGCTTCAGGTGCAGTCCACTTCACCGGCAGCTTTATTTCGTGTGTAGATTCATAAATGTCTTCATTATCTACCTGTTAATGCATTAAGGAATCAAGCCAAGTTAAAGGGATTTTTTTTTTTTTTGCTACTGCCCTCATTCATTTATAACCTGCTTCACATTAAAATTTAGAGGGAAAAGATACAAAATAAGCTTAGTTCAATTGATAATTACAGTAGCAAATTCTGAATCTGGCATACAAGACTGAAAAATTTATGGGAAATTATTAACAAAATTTTATTTGAAAGCCTAATATGTGCTAAGAATAGTACTGGAAGGAACATTCTACTACATGTGGGAAAATTCATACATGACAATTCAGACTTCATGTCTGGTCTTGAACAAATTAAAAAAATGGAAGCAAAATCTGTCTGTTTTTTGATTTACTGCTGGTATTGAAGAGCCACTGACTTTGATAATTACCATGTAACCACTTGCTAATACCTGAAAAGTAAGATCCACATGATTTACATTAATATATCAACTCACTGGGCTTCTAATTAATTTACAAAAAAGAGAAAATGATGAATTTATGAGAATCAAGAGACTCATTATTTGTTGTGCTTCACGTCCCACATCCATATTTTTAAGATACAGTGTGGAAATTTAAAATTAAATTCAGAGAAAAACACCCAATATCATATCTCCTATATCAATGTCTTTTGGACTGAGGTCACAAAATGGGAGGAAAAATGGAAAAGCCAATGATTGCTGAAGAACTATGGCAACATGCAGAGTAGTGTGGCATAAAGGGAGCAGTGGTGGGTAGGATAACACTGTACAAAGTGTACTTCTTTTTGTAAAGGAAATAGAGGCAAACAAAGAGAGGCTACTGATACTGAGAAACAAATCACTAATTCAACTACAAACTTAATTACATACTTCTAAATCCGGTTGGTCATTGTTTTCTCTGCTTATTTTCCCTTGGCGAAGAAATAGGAATGCACAGGTAGTTTGTCTGTAAGGTCTTGGGCCACTGAGGTGGTCTGTAGACCACAGAACTTGGAGAAACATTGTTTTAAAGAATAACAGTAAATCTATTGGTCTACCAGTCTGTTGAGTTTTTGACCTATTACAAAAATGAATTAAAACAAAACCAAATCCACCTTAAAAACTCTTGCAAGTCCAAAATCTGCTACTTTGTAGATATTATGTTCACCAACGAGGACATTTCTGGCAGCCAGATCTCTGTGGATATAGTTCTGGGACTCCAGATAGGCCATTCCAGAGGCAACCTGTGCAGCCATGTCTACCTGCTGAGTTAGATGGATTTTTGACCCAGCATCATCTAAGCAATAAGAGAAAATAAGATATTTACTTCGGGGAACATATGAACTATTAAGTGAATTCTGAGAATGTTGATGAATGAGCTATCTCAGTGAAATTAAGTCCAATGGCACTGATCTGTTAAGCAAAAAATGTAATCGATACAATTTCATTTTCCATAAAGGGTTAATAAGGCAACAATTTTCAGAGTTCAAGCACATTCCAAGGCTACGGCCCTCTCTTCCCTGAATGAGCATTACACTGAGAAAGGAACAAAGGCATCACATGATCCAAACATGGCTACATTTATCTGAAAGAGTCCGGTTAGTGCCTTTCTTCAATATCACATGTCATTGAGTCATCTGTTCATAGAAATTATTACTTAGTTGCTACTGAATTTCTTTCAAACATTACATAGTTTGTTTTAGTCATTGAACCTATAAAATAGTACCAATGTTCGGGTGCAGATGTCCTTATCGTAGAATGTTTTGTGCTCTTTTGGGTAGATGCCTAATAGTGCTATTGCTGGATCGAATGGTATTTCTATTTTTAGCTCTCTGAGGTATCTCCAAATTCTTTACCACAGAGGTTGCACTAATTTGCAGTCCCACCAGCAGTGTAGAAGAGTTCCTGTCTCTCCACATCCTCGCCAACATTTGTTGTTTTGTGTTTTTTTGATAGAGGCCAATCTCACTGGGGTTAGGTGATACCTCATTGTGGTTTTGATTTGCATTTCTCTAATGATTAGAGATGTTGAGCATTTTTTTATATGTTTGCTGGCCATTATTCTGTCTTCTTTTGAAAAGTTTCTGTTCATTTCGCTTGCCCATTTGTTGATGGGGTTGTTTGATTTTTGCTTGTTGATTTTTTTGAGTTCTAGATAGATTCTGGTTATCAGCCCTTTATCAGATGTGTAGAGAGCAAATATTTTTTCCCATTCTGTGGGCTGTCTATTCACTCTAATGATAGTTTCCTTGGCAGTGCAGAAGCTTTTTAATTTGATTAGATCCCACTTATTTATTTTTGTTGCTGCGGCGATTGCTTTGGGGGTCTTCTTCAAGAATTCCTTACCTAGGCCGATGTCTGAGAGGGTCTTCCCAACATCTTCATTTAGAATTCTTAAGGTTTCATGCCTTAGGTTTAAGTCTGTTATCCACCTTGAATTGATTTTTGTGAGAGGTGAGAGGTAGGGGTCTAGTTTCAGTCTTCTGCATGTAGCTATCCAGTTTTCCCAGCACCATTTGCACCCGAATGTTTATGGCAGCACAATTCACTATTGCAAGAATGTGGAAACAACCCAAGTGCCCGTCAATCCATGAGTGGATTATCAAAATTTGGTATTTGTTTACAATGGAATATTACTCAATTATAAGAAATGACAGTGATCTAGCACCACTTACATTTTCCTGGATTAAACTTGAGCCCATTATCCAAAGTGGGGCACCACAAGAGCAAAAGAACGGGTTCCATTTGTACTCACCATCAAATTGGTATTAACTAATCAACACATAAAAGCACATATCAGGACAACATCTATTGGATGCTGGGGAAGGGGGAGGGCGGTGGGAGAAGGAGGGGACGGGTATTTGTATACATAAGGAGTGCAATGCGCACTACCCGAAGGATGGACATATTTGAAACACGGACTTGGGGGGAGGGAAACCAAGGGCAACACATGTAACCTAAACATCTGTACCCCGTAATATGCTGAAATAAAAAAAAAAAAATAGTACCAATGTGCATGGCTGAGCCAATGAAAAGTTCTCATTCTTCCATCTTATTGTTCTTAAAAACTAGCTCACTAAAAAAAAAATATAGGGTCTGTCAGTAGTTATAAAACATATGTAACATTTGTACCACTAAACTTGATATTTTTTTTAATTTCCCTTTCTTAATCTGTTAGAATAGGTTGCTCATCTCTCTGGGCATGGACACACCTTTAATAGACAGAATTTCTCCTATGGCTCATTCTCTATAACTAAATACAGGACATTTATGTAGTAGGTTCAATTTAATCATTAGTAGAGGGGGTCAGTGCTACTTTGCGGTGACTTTTTGAAGTCATTCTTGGGTAGCGTTTAGCTGCCATACTGTTGGTAGATGTTTTCAGATTTCTGGAGAATTAAAATAATCTCACATAAATCCAAACTTATTATTGTTATCCTTGCCCAAATAAGTCAAATCCTATTATGTAAAGTCCATTGGATTCATGGTCAAGAGTCTTAGACACAAGCCCTGATCTGAGAGGCAGATATAGTACAGGTGTCAGGAAGACTGGTAGTTGAAGCAAGAGTGCCAGACTCTAGATCAAGCCATATCTCGTATTTGTATGTGTCCTTGGGCAAGAAGCTTAACACTCTCACGCCTCAGTCTCCTCATCTGTAGAATGAGAATAGTAACTACTCATTTTATTAGTTGTTAAAATAAGCATTAAAATGAGTTAAGACATGTAAAGCACTCAAAACCTGGTACCTAGGAAGAACCCATTCGTCCTAACTATTATTATCATTGCTCCTCCCTAATTGAAATGAAACCATATGGGACTTGTTAAACTAGAGAGACATATGGATTACTCATGTGGAAATGCCTGAGAGAAGACAAGTATATGGGTCTTGGAGCTCAGGGGAGAATAGGCAGCTAGAGATAGAGATTTAACAGTCATAGTTTATGAGTGGGAGTTAAAACATTAAAAGTGGATGAGATTGCTAAGATGTGACAGAATCATGAAAAATGCCAATATTTAGGGTGTGGCAGAAGAAGATAAACCTTCAAGAAAACTGAGAAGAATCAGCCAGAAGAATAAAAGGTGGGGGGAAGGTAGAGAACATTGTAACAGGTCAAATGTTTTGAGAAAGAGAAAGTCGCCATCATAGTCAAATACCACAAATAAGTCCAGTAAGATAAGGACTAAAAGATACTTGTTAAATCTAATAATTAAGGAGTCATTGGTGATCGTAGTGACAGGAAGAGCAGGAGATAGAGTATAAGGAGTTGAGGGCTGAATGGGAGTTGAAGACATGAAGACAGCAAGAGGAGAAAGCAAATTCCAAAACCCTAGCCAAGATGGGAAGACAAGAAGGATGCACTAGAGGTAAATGTAACGTCGAGGGAAAGCAATTATCATAAAATTCAGGATAGTGAGTGGTTGTGATTGACAAAGTATTCAGGGGGTTTCTGGGGTGCTGTCCATCTTCTAATTCTTGATCTGGGCAGTGGCTGCACAGTCTTTTACTTGTTCGCTTTATGATTACATGTTAAACTGCACAGTATGATTTATGTGCTTTTGACATATATGCTAGTTTTTCAATAAAAAATAAAATAGAGTGAAAAGGAATTTTTAAATGGGAAAGACTTAAGCACTGTATGTATATGTGTGTGTACATATATCTGTTTTTTAAGGCAAGCAGTATATTTCAACAAGATGTGAGGCAAAACTAGCTGCTCTTCAATCCTTTTGTCCTTTCTTTTCTCCATGGGCACATACAGAAAAGTAATTTTCCATCATCCTTTGCAGTTAAGTTGGACCATGTCGCTAGTTCTGGACAATGCAACGTGTGCAGAAATTATATACATCACTTACAGGCCTGGCCTTAAAATCTCCCACATCTTTGTGGCTAACAGGATGAATTTCAAAATGGTAGGCCCACATGTGTCTGAATCCCTGTGTCGTCCATTTAAAAAAAGCCACCTAAAAGAGCAGTCTAACTCATATCGAAAACATATATTTTTTGTGTTAATTCACAGAGTTTTGAATTGTATGTTACAGTAGCTGACATTAATTATTTAGCCTAAAACGAGATGTATGCATGAAAATAAAATATGATTCAGTGTGTAGTATAATGGAAAAGCATTGCTGCTATGATAGCGAAAATAGCTATGCCTTTTGATATCAAATTCACTCCATAGGAAAATAAATGTATGAAATTAAGACAAGCTGGGACTAACCATAAACTATGTGGTAGACAGCTCCTACAGTGCCTCCCAGTGATACCCACCTCCTGATATTCATGCCCTTGCAAAAGCCCCTTCCATTGAGTGTGTTCTGGATCTAGTGATTCAGATTGAACAAATAGAACATGGCAAAAGTGATGGAGTATCACTTCTAAGATCAAGTTATAAAAGCTTCTGACATCATCTTACTGACACTCTCTACCCTATTGTTCTCTTGCTTGCTAACTCTAATAAAGCAAGCTGCTACATTGCAAGCTGACCTATGGAAAGTCCATGTGTCAGGGAACATAGGACATCCTGCAGCCAATAGCCAGCAAGGAACTGACTTCCTCAATCCAACAGCCCAGGAGGAAATACTCATGTGAGTGAGTTTGGAAGTGGATCCATCTCCACTAGAGCCCTCAGGTGACTAGGGTACCTGCTGACACCCTGACTGCAGCCTTAGAAGAGGCCCTGGACTAGAAGATCCAGCTACACTGCTCCTGGATTCCTAATCACAGAAACTGTGAGATGATAAATGTTTGCTGCTTTAAGCCACTAAGTTTTAGGGCAATGTGTTGTGCAGCAGTAGGTAACTAATACGGGTTGATATTAGGAAAATAACATCAGTGCTATGAAATTGGTGAAAAGCATGAACTATGGAGCCAGACTTCCACTTTGGATAGGTTATTAATACTTAACCTCTCCATATCTCAGTTTCTTCAGTTGTGAAATGGGGATACTAATAATGATACTTACCTCATAAGATTGTTAGAAAAATGAACTAAGTTAATATTTATAAAAGACTTAGAAAAAGGCCTGTCACATAGTAAGTGCTATATAGAGATTTTTAGGGAAAAAAATTAAACATATATGGTCCTCTCCTACCTCTTTGTCATATGGTTCATTTCCAATAAATCACCTAATTTAATACTCAGAACAACTATATGAAGTCTTGTTATTATGCTCCCCCATTTCACAGGTGTTCCTGCTACTTGGAGGAACAGGTGGTAAGTTGTAGAGAGGAGATTCAAATTCAGGTATGTCTGAGACTTAAATCTTGTAATCTCAAGAACTATTTTTACACTGTCTTCCTAAAATTTACCTCACACATGGCTCCTGAGCACCCAAAAGACAGGGGATAATGGAGAGACTTCCATTCATATAGCAAATAGTTATACAGTTGTATTCAGTTAAAAGATGTATCAATGAAAATATTTCTGTCTACTTCAGTCCACTTAAGTGAACTGTCCATGAGAATGACGAACATTTTAGGACTAGATTTATAAAAATAGAAAATGTTTGCTGCTCTTTAAAGAGTACTTAAATGCCTGACATATATTAGATGCTTTATAAACATTTATTGGGGGTGGAAGAGGAAGCCCGACTAAACTAAAAAAAAATGCAGACATTTATCCTTCCTAAATTTCAGCAAGAAATACCTGTCATCAATTACCCTCAATGCTAAAGTTTTTTGACAGACTTCTCCCATTTTGGAGAAATATATTATTAAAAAAAAATTCAGCCATGCTTAGGGACTACAAAGATGGTTATATAGAAAAATATGTATGTTATTTCAACTATCAAATACAACATCTAATCCTATTACAGTGGATAGAAAGAGGTTTTCACTGGCAGGCACAATACTGGAGGAAATTAAGTAACATACATTTCCTATCCTGAAGGGTACAGTAGCCTAGGAACTGCCTAAGTAAACCTCAGAGCACACTTCTACTACAACCACCATATATCAAAACTGATATAAAGGTTCACAAATCTGTGACAATTTACATCTGCAGCAAGAAAATATTTTCAATTATGTTCATTACTCAAGAATCATTCTGCTTAATAATATTTATCATGATTGACTGCTGAAGAGTGGTAGGTTCATTTTAGGATCACTTTATTGAATTTACAACCTCTTGATTGGGAAGGGATTTTCTTTAGTGAGAATATCTTCATTTCTCTTCCTGGCTGCTAAGTATCCTCACAAAGAAAGGCGTTAATAAACTTGACCCTGATGGCCTAACCCAGAAGATGACAGGGTTTCTACTTAACCCTAAGTAAACCACATCAACGAGAAATCATCAATGTCCAGGAAGTTTTCCACATACTATTTGGATCTTTTCAAGCTGATACCAAGAGTCTTAAAACAACCTTGACTCCAACCCAATCTTACTAGGTTAAGGATGGTCCCAACTTAACCTATGTATTTGATCAGTCAATACATAATTAAGTTCACACCTTCTATGTGCCAGGCATTGTTCTAGCACAAAAAACAAAGAAAAATCTCTGTCTTCAAGAAATTGTATTTAGAAGATATTGAAAATAAGCTAAATAAATAAATCATATTTTATAAGATGATTAACAGCTAAGAAGATAAAACAAAAAGCAGGGAAAAGGAATACTAAGAGTCAGTAGAAGGAGATTAAATTTTAGCATTTAGAGGGTGACCAGTAAAGGATTCAAGATGGGCACATCTGAGTAAAGATTTGCAGAAAATGAGAAGTACGCATGTGGATAGATGTCATTAAAAAAAAAATTCAGGCAGAGGAAACAGCAAGCGCAAAGGGCTTGAGGCAAAAGCATGCCTGGAGGCTAGGAGGAATTGCAAAGAGGGCCAATGTGGCTGACACAGAGTGACAGAGGGGAAGTTTTAGGGAATGAGACCTAAGAGAGAATGGAGAGCCAGGTCACATAGGACTTGGTGAGTTACACAGAAATAAGAACCAGTGGGAGTCATGGCAGGTTTTTAGCTGAGGATGGACATGCTCTGATTTACATTTTAACTGGATCTCTCTAGCTGTTGTGTTGAGAAGAGATTGAAAAAGACAAGAATCAAAAGAGGGAGACCAGTCAGGAGCTACTGCAGAATCCAGGAGAGAGGCAATAATGGCCTGGGTCAGAGTAGGAGCACTGAGAAGTAAAATCTTGAAAATATTTGGAAGGCAAGCCAATGGGATTTGGCTGGCTGGTTAGATGATGGTATATGAGAAGAAGTAGAGATGTCTCCAAGGTATCAGGCCTAAGTGCTGACATGGCCAAAGAAAGAAAGATTGCAAGAGTAGCATATTACTAGGAAAGAGTACAAGATCAGTTTGGGGCATGTCATTTTGAAATTTCTAATAAAACATATGTAGTAGAAATTAGGACTGTTCACAAAGATTTAATTTTTTTCTCCTTTCACGTACTTTAGAGGATTCTACTTCCCTATCCTTTGACTTGATTTGCCCAAATGGAAAGGGAACAGAAGTAATCCCTCTGTCACTTCTGGTCAGAAGCTTTAAGAACCAGGATGAGATTAGTCTCATCCCCTTCTCCTGGCAGGGTGATCCAAAGAGCTGAGCCACAAGCCAATCTATTTTGCACACATAGCATAAGCAAGAAATACACCCTTGTTCTGTTAAGCCAACTGGGATTTGGAGACTGTTTGTTACGGCAGCATACCTACGTAGACTATTATTCCGATGGAGACTGTTCCCAAGTGGAGAAATTAAGAAAGCAATGGGATATATAATTCTGAAGTAAGGTAAGGATAAAGTTTGGGGAACTGTCAAGATGTAGACAATTTAACGATGAGATTAACAAAAGAACTAGTGATGCTACAAATCATTCTGGAGAATTCCAAGATATTGAGAGGTCTGGGAGATGAGGGAAATCACATAGATTGAAAAGAAACAGCAAGAAAGGAAGGAGGGCCGGGCGCAGTGGCTCATGCCTGTAATCCTAGCACTCTGGGAGGCCGAGGCGGGAGGATCACTTAAAGTCAGGAGTTCAAGACCAGCCTGAGCAAGAGCGAGACCCTGTCTCTACTAAAACTAGAAAGAAATTATCTGGACAACTAAAAATATATATATAGAAAAAGTTAGCCAGGCATGGTGGCGCATGCCTGTAGTCCCAGCTACTCGGGAGGCCGAGGCAGGAGGATCGCTTGAGCCCAGGAGTTTGAGGTTGCTGTGAGCTAGGCTGACGCCACGGCACTCTAGCCCGGGCAACAGAGTGAGATTCTGTCTCAAAAAAAAAAAAAGAAAGAAAGGAAGGAAGGAGGAGATGCTATTGAGTGAAGTGCCCTAGAAGCCAAATGAAGAAAGTGTTTCCAGGAGGAGAGAATGTCCATTGAATTAAATGCTGCTGATAAGTCTGAGCATGGGGAATTGTTTATTAGATTTAATAATGTGTGTATTATAAGTGACCATTTTTATAAAGCTTTTCTATTAGCTCTGACCCAAAATCACATTTGCATTTTGGGAAGAAAGCAGAAGGGCTCAGTAGCCAAAGTTAGTCTTTCTATGGTGGGTAACACATCCTGATGCTGTTAAATTTGATATCTTCATGCAAGGGAGCTAGGTATATTTTTGTCTTCAACAGAATGTTCTTTGCTCTTCTTACGTTGTTTGTAATTTAATATTACCAGCTTCACAAGTCACCCTAAAATCAGAGAATACTCTTATCTTTCTGAAATCTTTGTTCCATCATTCTCACCTCCCTTTACCTCTGTACATCCTATTAATCCTACCCTGACATTTCGAGAAATTGCAGAAAAAAAGTCTATTTTTAAATCATGAATTATTCTCTCAGTACTTGATCTCAACTTCTTTGAACATCTCATTTTAATACTTATTATACTGTGTTGTTATTTGTTAAATTATTCATTTGTAATAAACATCAAAATTTCACAATGCCCTTCAGTCTTCTCTGACTATAGGAAGCAAATGTAGAAATAAAGCAATAGTATATTTCTGCTTTTTAGTCTGAAAATTCCAATGTTGACTGGCAGCGGAAGTATTTTAAATACCAACAAGTACAATGTTGTCAAATACTGGCAAAGAAGGAAAAGATAGGATACATCTCTCCTCTTTTCCCGAAAGTATTCCATGTCCCCAAATTCTACACCATATAAAATATTTGTCCATGACTGATAATGTTCAATTAGTGTAGGAAATAAAGCATCGTGCAAAATATCCATTCTTTAATTTCCCACATTACATTTAAGTACTCTAATATGTCTATCGTGAACAATTTGCTCTTCCAGTACATAAATATTTTCCTCCCTTTGAGTACACAGTATATATCCTATTAAATAGTAGTTGAGCCATTCAATGTTAAGACATTTGTTCTCACAGATATACACATAGTAAATATTCTTTGGGTTACAGAAGGCTTACTAAATTGATGTTTATAGGACTAGCTAAACTAAATTCCTCTTTTCTCCCCCTTTTATTGTCTTTAGCTTACTTTGGAGATATTCTTGCAGACTTCCGTGTCTCATCAACTCTGTAATAATATAAATTGGATCTTCTAAAGTGCAAACAGCATACAGCTGGATAAGCTTGGGATGTCTTAGGCTCTTCATTATCTGTGCCTCCCTCAGGAAGTCATTTGGATCCATTGAACCTGAAACAAGAAGAGGGGGAAATCACTCTGTGTTATTGAGGCATTCCTATCCTCACAGCAGTCTGGTGGGAATCACCAAGATTGCCTGCCCTGCCTCTCAGTAACGTCAGAACAGCAGTAGCACAAATCTTCAGACTTATCAAAGAAGAGAATCAGTTCAGCCGGGGCAGCCTAATAACTGGATGTGGGTGCATCAGGGGTGTGCAGTTTATGTGTTACGACCTGAAGGTAAAAAGAGGTTGATTCAGGTCTATATGAAAAATGAAAGAAAGAGGAGAGACTGAAGGTCTAATTGATAAAACGAGGCAGGTATCTTAACGAAAAGAGAAGACATTCTATTAACATAAATACTGAAGGATGCTGAGTGTTTAATTACTGCAGCCAGAGCTTTTTGTTCTGGGATTCAGAGAAGACTGATAGCTGCCCTGTCTGTGGTGCCCACTATGGGAAGAGCTGCAGGAAAAAATTCTAAAACAATGACATTCTGCCATATATTTTGTCCTTCATTCTGCAGGAACATAGGGCATAGGCCAATTAGAAAACATTCAAGGCCATCCCCAAAAGTTAGTGGGTTTTTTTTTTTTCACCAGTTTATACATTTAACTTGGAAAATTCAGCATTCTCTTCTGTATTATCTGTTTCCACAGTCAAAGCCTTAATAGCTTGACCAAATCAATGCGGCAGTATGGGGGCCTATTTTGAAGACTCATCTACAATTAAATTGCATTTAAATGGTTAAACTCTCACTCACTATGCAAGGTGTCAAGTAGTTACCTCCTAAGAGGAGGAAGGATACCTGGAGTTTACATTCATCAGTAATTTTAAAATCTTTTATTTCTTTTAGGATATGATGTTTCAGAGGCATTACTGTAATTGAAGGAACACCTCATTCCACATCTTAGTATTCAGTATGGAGACTGCAAATATCATTTCCAGTGATGCCCAAGAAGAACACTAAGTTCATCACCCTCTCCATGTTGGATATTTTACAACTGGTGTTCGAACACAGGTATGGATAAGCTTTGACATTCTAAGGTAACACTGTGACTTGTTTATTAATGTAAGGTTAAGAAGAGTTACATGTGACCTGCAGATCATTTCACATAAAGCATTCAGGCAGTCTGCCCTTTGAGAGTCTAGAAATTCAGAACCCAGGTCTGATCAAAGTCTGGATTCTGCACAAATCCCAGATCTGAAACTGCCCTTACAAATTAATAAAGAGGGGTACAAGGCGAGAACAGTGGTAAGGGCCTAGTAAAAATAGGGCACAGGCCTAGCTAAAAATAATGATAATAATTAGTCACTGTCCCCCTGTTTCCTTCTCTATAATTGCCACTCTGGAGCCATGCAACTGGTGGTCATAAAGATTCTTAACTTTCTCCGTAGTTAAGATTACTGTTTTGAAATCTAAAGGTAGTTTTTAAGATATCTTCCAGGCTCTGCATTCCAGTGGATTGGTTGACCCAACCAAGGGACCAGCGGCCCATACCAAGAAACCGACTCAACTGGAATTTTGACTCCAGGGACTGAAGCAATACATGATTTCTACCCCCCTATAATTTTGCCCCAATTAACAAACATAATTGCCTAATCCCTTGCCTGCCAAACTGTCTTTAAAAACTCTGTCTCCCAAATTCTCAAGGAGACGGATTTGAGAAATTTCTCCTGTCTCCCTGCTTAGCACTATGTGGAATAAACTGTCTGCCCTAAACCCTGCTGACTCAGCATATTGGCTTCCCCGCCTTAGGCAACGGGCAAACAAACCTGTCTGGGCGACAACAGATCTGCTTCTAGCTCCCTGTGTGATCTTGAGAAAGATATTAAGCCTCTCTGAACCTCAGTTCCTTCATCTTAAAACGTGGCTAATAACGTTACTGACATCATAAGCTCATTATCAGGGTAATAGCAATGCCTGGCACATATGTATCCAATGACTGTTGACCATTATTTGTATTATCATTTACATGCATATTCTTGGGAAAACCAAACAGACCATGGTGTTTTTTTTCTTTCATAGGCTGAGGAGGGGAAGGAACAAGGACTTAAAAAGGAAGAATAGGATAACATGGCCTGTTCTCTTTCTATCATGTGTTTCTGAGCTCCCTCAATTCCATCTTTATCATTGGTTTATTTCACATGATCAAATAGGATTAAAATTTGGAATCACAGTAGCAAAATAGAGCTGAGAATAAAAGAGGCACCTAAACCATAATAAATAACTTTGTTCTTGTCTGTTACTAGTTTAGCCTATATTCAAACATCCACATAGTGGGGACACCCCACCACCAAAAAAAAAAAATCTGATTCATGAAGCTTCCAGTGATAGCAACAATTATGATCATTATTCAGACAATTTATATATACAATATATTTCTATGTTAATGCTTGGCGTGGCCATCAGATTCATAGAGTGCAGGACACTCAAATCATCCCCAAATCAGACTATCCACAAGAACCAAAATCATGGTACCTCAGGAGCCTCTGCAGGTGAAGGCTGTTTAGAGCACCCCTTCCTGGCTATGCCGGTTACAGCTAACCAGCTGCATAGTAAAGGAAACCCAATCTCCACTCAGCTAGTAGTGCCACATTAAATATTAATTTTTGCCTGTCAAAGCCACTGTGGGAGTTGATTTCAGGCTCATCTTTATTGCGTGGTAGTCTGCTAAGCAATAAATAGCTGCTAAGATTGATTAATGGCCCCAGTGAAGTGAAGACATTTAACCAATCACCAAAGCTGTTTGCAGCTATTACACTGTAAATCAATAATAATTATTCCTGTTGGAGAGAAAACTATTGTGGCTTTTTTTTTAAATATAAGAAATCTGACTTTCTTTTTGTTGTTGTTCTCTTTTTACCCCCCAAATGCCTTCCTTAGAAAGCAATGTTAGGAGGATAGCTAGCTGCCTCTTTTTGGAAAAGAATGATCAGATTGGATAATAATGTTGAGTCTCAATTATCAATAACATTAGGATTTAAAAGCATATGCACACAGTGGTTGTGAAAATTTCAGGTGCTGGAATAGAATGTCCTCACCTGGAGTACTCATAAGGCATCTGGCCACTTAAAAGTGCCTCTCTGTTAGTTTCATCTCGCAGATATATTAATAAAAAAGTTCACTCCTGCACTAGTGAGTTTGCACTTCAGTGAACACATTTGTCAGCAACCCCATGGAAGAAGCTAACATTTATTAAGAATTCATTGCGCATGTTTTATGTACATTGCCTTAGTGTGTGCTCATAAAACTCTATAAAGTAGGAACTATTATAATTCTTCCTTCCAGATGGGGAGTTTCAGAAAGGTTAATAAGTTGTCCATGGGGCAGAGCAAAGTTTGAGCTCAGGTTTATCTTATGCAATACTTTAAGCTCTTAACTGTTAGACTAGAAAGTCCCGACATTTTCAGTTCATGGCACCCTTAGTGTCTCTGTCACTTTTTTTACTACGTCCCTAAGCCAAAAGGAATACCTAATAGTTACTTGTTTAGATCCAAACAACTTAAGAAGTATTTGTCCTAAAAATTTAATAGCCATCTGAAAAAGTAACACAGGTAAATTGAAAGGGTAAAAAAACTTTTTTATTTCACTCTTAACCACGATTACTTAGTAAAGTGATATATGCACAACTTAAGTCTTAGAATCAGAATGAACACTGCTACCCCCATTTCCTGGTCCACATTGATTTCTGTGTGGATCTTACATTTCAATTACAGTAACAATCAAAAAACCAGCTTCACAAAGACATGATGTCAGCAAAAAGAATGTAACATGATGTAACATTGAATCTGCAAACTACCTGTTTGTGCAGTATTCAAGGTGTTTACTTCAAAATTTTTAAATATCCCACAGCACCCCTGTGAATTCACTGTGGTGCCCCAATGGCCCTTGGCACACGGTTTGAGAACCATGGTGTCACACTATACTGCTAGCCAGCAAAACCCAAGTGCTCAAGTTCTGCCACAAAGGAGGCTTCCCAAATCTTTAAGAATTCTGGGCAAGATAAATAATAGAGGTCCCCAGAGAACTACAATCTAGCCTATGGTTATGATTCTCACCTATGTTACCAGAAGCAGCTATGAGGCTACCACAGCAATGTTGCACTTTTATAAACTGTCACTTCCATGAAGTATGATGCAGTAGTGATAGATGTAGGCTCAAATCTCAGCTCTGTCATTTACTGACTTTGTAATAATAATAATAATAATAACTGGTCACTTATTATGAACCAGGCACCATACAAAGCATTTCCACTAATGATCTAATTGAATCTTCATTATAACCCTCGTAGGTTGGCCTTGTTATTATTTCTATTTTACAAATGACAAAACAGAAGCATAGAGTAGTTCAAAAATTTGCTCAAGATCACATATAATTGGTAAATCTTTGAAATGTTACTTAATCTCTTCCTTACTCCACCTTTAAAATGGAGGGAATAAAGCCTGGCTGAATAAATATTGATTTTAGTGTACTTTTACTTGCCACCATAGGGAAAAGGAAGATGAAAGGAAAAATAGTTCCTACATTTTGAAATACGAGGTCTTTTAAATGGACCATTTTACCTTTTAACAATACACAATTAATATTTAATAAAATAGTTGTTCCCTGGACAGCACCAAGATTCCATCTGATTTTTTTTAAGTATTTTCAGTTAAGCCAGTATTTTTTTTAACTAAAGCTAGGGAAAAAGGGGAGAAGGACATTGAAAGACTGAATCCTAATTCTAGAGAAGAAATATGTTGTTGGAATCTTGAATTGGAGATGTTTTAAGACTTAGCTGATCCAGGGAACACCTTCTTATCTTTATATTTTAAAGCCTTATCTATAGGTTTTGGTCACCTGGGCTAGAGAGAATGATCACCACATCTGCTTGCTGACAGCATTGGCCATCCCATGACCTTCTGGACGTTTACAGTGTCAAACTGAGCTCATAAAAATCAAATTATGTTGTTTAGCCTTTGATGTTCTCGCACCTGGTTTTAATGTTTTGACTGCTACTGGAGTGGTGTTGTTCCACAGGCCTTCCCATACTTCACCAAACTGGCCGGATCCCAATCGCTTCAGAAGTTGTATGGAGTTGCGGTCTATCTCCCACTGGTCCACGGTTTTATACGACAAATCAAAAGGCAATGGGACCTGTATCTGTTTCACAAAATAATGAGAAGACTTGTAAGAAAAATGGGTAGACTTAATTTTTTTGTCGTTGTTGGAAATAATAGTCTAGATACTTTTTAAAGGAAACGGTGTTAAATATTATAAATTGTATTCTAATTACTTCAAAACAGGAAACAATGGTGGGAGAATCTGCACTGCTAACTCTTCAAGCTGATCGTCTCCCAAATCTTGCTAAGTCAGGTAGCTCATTGTTAATGTGTTCCTTCCCACACCTAATGCCATCCTCACACATCTCTGGAATGACTTCTCTCTGCCTCTTTGCCTAGCTGAGTTCTCCCAATTTCAAGGCCCAATTGAAGTTCCACCTCACCCACAAATCCTTCCCAAACTGTTTGGCTGGCTACAGTCTTTATGGTATGTATCATATATTTTTGCATAATTAAATGTTTACTCTTTTTCCAAACTCATTTTTTATTTCATTCTTTATTCATTCATTTACTCATTCACTTAGTAAATAAACTTTTTAAAGCACCAATTAAGTAGCATTTGCAAACAAAATGGACAAGACCCCTGCCCTCCTAGAGCTCATAGTCTAGTTTACCATCCATCACACAGTCTCTGTTGCAAATATTAACACTAAATTTTGCTGTTATGGCATGGAAGAAGCCAAAGACAATTAGTAAGTGAACAAGTGTCTGTTTCAATAAAACTTATTTACAAAAACAAGCATGGAACAGCATTTGCTCAGGGACCATGGTTTGCCTATCCCTGCCTGTCTTAGGTAATCAAATGACAATTTTTTTTTTTCTGAACTGACAGATACTCAACTATCTGAATTAATTTCAAGTTAAATGAACACAGCTTGAAAGTATTTCACCTTTAAGCATGGCTTTCCCAGCTTGACACACAAGCCATCACTTCTTGTGGTGTAGTAGCTCACAAATTCATTCAGTGTTGAAAAGGTTCTTCTCCGGGTAAGAAAAAAGCCCCCTTCATCAAGTCTTCTGATTCTGTAGTGTTTTACAACTCCTTGATCTAAAACTGGAACCAAAAATAAGTCCTGTTAATAAATTTTTGACTAAAGCCAAGCACATTTATTTATTTTGTGGTGATATTTTCAATGCATGAAATGAAATTTTCACAAAATTCTATGTACTTCTCAACTGTGTTTCAGAAAAAACTTGAGGAACTTTATAAAAGATACATAATGAGAGAGAGAGAGAGAGAGAATTAGTAAATAATAGTAAAGGAAACATAAGATAAAAACAAAGAAGTAAGGTTAGCACTAAAAAAATTCATGCTGTGAAGCCTAGTATATTTGATTAAAATAAGCCATAAAATTGACTCTATCATTCAAGCAAAGCAAGGAAGTAAACCTTATCGTTTTGAGTATCACGGTGTCCATTAGATAAAATCACAAAAGGTGTTTAGAAACAGTTCACCTCTTCCTGGTACAGAGACCACAGAGAAATTTCTCCCATGAAATCCTGTAACATGGAGACTGAAATAGAATAAACAGAATCCTCAATGCTATCTTACAATAACATAAGGAATTCCTCAGGGCCATTCATTATACTGCCCTCAACGCAGGCTAACAGAACATCCTAGCACAGTCCAATAAAAGTAATTCCACAGGGCCTAAAATAATGCAGTCCACATATGTAACTTTCCAGCAGTATTGCTTGATCTGAAAGTAAGTCCTGTAGCATTTATAGGAATAAATAAACTGCATTCTTTTTAGGTAGTCCAACTTGTAGTGGACATTTTGTTACTTTTGCCTGTCACCAACCATTTTCCCTTCTTCTAATAGCACCCCGATTTTCCTCAGAGAAATCACTGCTTCTCTAAGAGTATGTGGTCCAGAGGGATCTGGCAGCCACATGGAGCTGAGGAAGGCAGGGTCAGAGCAATCATAGCCAAAAAACCTCAATTCCAGGACTCGCATTAGGAAGCTCCAGGAAGATAGGAAGAGTGCTGTGGTTTTGGTTTTGGTTTTGGTTTTGTTGGGGAATCTCCATGCCAGTTCTGCTTAAAACCGCAAAGCAGCTAAAGTAGATGCTGACACCTGTCAGCCTTGCAAGCTAAAACCGCAGAACAATTAAGCAGAGTTACAAGCCTGTCATGACTGTACTGCTTGTTGTAAACCTATCATAACTATACTGTTTGTTATAAGCCTATCATAACTGTACTGCATATAAAAACTGCTATTAATTGGCTAACTTTTAATCCTTTTACCAATTGGTTAACTTTTATACTTGTGTATGTTATTGGATAAGACTAACCCCCCAAAAAAGAGTATAAAACCCGACAAAAACCCGAAAGCGGTGCTCAGAATTTGGAGGCTTGTCTCCTCTGGGCCGCCAGCAATAAAACTTGCTGACCCTCCAATTCTCTGCGTGCCGCTCGGCTATTCCCCTGGGACCGGTCAGTGTAACACTTGCCGTAACAGTTTTACTTCTGGGAGTTTGGAGGTATTGGAAGAATCCTGGGCTCCAGGCAGGGAGCAATCTTGCCTGAGAAGAGAAGCAGCCTAGTGGAAAGTAATCTTGATATAGAAAGTGAAGCTTGGTCCCGGGAGCCAGCCAAGCCTGGCATTTACAGATATAGGAGTCAATTAATTACCTTTTTGCTTAAGCTAGTTTGAATTGGGTTTTCCGTACTTGCATTTGAAATATTGACTGATGCATTTTCTACCCATTCTTCCACTTAGTAAAGTTATTGATAAGTATCGAGCAGCACAAATACAGCTATTCTGAGTTCCTTGCTAAATATAGAACCTTATGCCTCAATAATCAGTCGAGCTGGAGCAACGTTCTTACGAAAAGAAAAATGACATCTCAGTCCCCACATGGAGGTTTACTGAGGGCATGCCAATGGCTAGGACATTTTTCTCAAAAAATAATTGGCACACACCAGAAGAGCCAAACTGAAAAAAGATATACAATATCAAGTGTTGGCAAGGAAGTAGAGTGACTTCTCATACCCAGTTGATGAAATGTAATTTTTATCACCACTTTGGAAATCACTGTTTGTCATTATCTACGAAAGCTGACCATAGTCATACTTACAATACAGTAATTCCACTCCTAAGTATAAAATCAATAAAAAGTCACAATATATTCACCAAAACACATGTATAAAAATGCTTTTGGTGGCATGATTTGTAAGAGTCTAAACCTAGAAATAATCCAAATGTCTATCAACTAATAAATAATAGAATTAACTAAAAATTGTTATATATTTGTCCAATGGAACACTATACAGATTTGTAAATAAACAAACTACAACTACACAACATGAGCGAATCTCACAAGCATGAAAATATGGTTCCATTTTTTAAAAGCTTAAAAACAGCAAAACTATTGATATGAGGAGCCAGTAACTGAGGTGTTGGTCTTACTCTCTTTCTTGACTGTGTACTGGTTATACAGGTGTATTCACTTTGGGGTTTTTTCCCAAAAAATATTACAGGGTTACAAATGTTTTGGTTACATGGATTGCTTTTGTACTGCTTGAGTCTAAGTTATAAGTATGCCCATCACCCAGATAGTATACACTGTACTCATCAGGTATGATTTCACCCATCTCTTTCTCCCCACTCCCACCTGCATGATTTCCATTGAGTTTTACTATCTGTGCACATGAGTGCCGATCAGTTAGTTTAAATTTAATAATGAGTACATGTGGTGTTTGTTTTTCCATTCTTGTGATACTTCACTTAGGAGGATGGTCTTTAGTTCCATCCAGATTGATGCAAAGGGTATTAATTCATTTTTGTGGCTGAATAATATTCCATGGTGTACATATACCATGTTTTATTAATCCACTCATGAATTGATGGGCATTTGGGTTGATTCCACATCTTTGCAATTGTGAATTGTGCTGCAATAAACATTCAAGTGCAAGTGTCTTTTGATAAAATTACTTTTTTCCTTTGGATAAATACCCAGTAGTGGGACTGCTGGATCAAATGGTAGGTCTACTTTTAGTTCTTTGAGGTATCTCCACACTATTTTTCATAGAGGTTGAACTAGTTTGCAGTCCCACCAACAGTGTATAAGTGTTCCTTTCAATATGCATCCATGCCAGCATCTATTGTTTTAGGACTTTTTGATAAAAGCCATTCTCACTTGGGTTAGGTGATATCTCATTGTGGCTTTGATTTGCATTTCTCTGATGATTAGTGATGTTGAGCATTTTTTCATATGTTTATTGGCCATTAGTCTATCTTCTTTTGAAAAGCTTCTGTCCATGTCTTTTGCATACTTTTTAATGGGGTTATTTTATTTTTTCTTGCTGATTTGCTTGAATTCTTTGTAGATTCTGGTTATTAGCCTTTTATTGGATATATATTTTCTCCCATTCTGTAGGTTGACTATTTGCTCTCTTGGTTGTTTTCTTGGCTGTGCAGAAGCTTTTTAATTTAATTAATCCCATCTATTTATTTTTGTTGTTGCTGTGATTGCCCTTGGGATCTTCTTCATAAATTCTTTGCCTAAGCTAATATCTGGAAGAGTTTTTCCAACATCTTCTTTTTATGGTTTAATATCTTAAATTTAAATTGTTATCCATCTTGAATTAATTTTTATAAGTGGTGAGAGGTATAGATCCTGTTTCAATCTTCTACATGTGGCTATCCAATTTTCCCAGCACCATTTACTGAATAGGGATTCTTTTCCCCAGTATATATTGCTGTCTACTTTGTCAAAGATCAGATGGCAACATGTGCATGGTTTTATATCTGGGTTCTCTGTTCTGTTCCATTGGTCTATGTCTCTATTTTTGTGTCAGTACCATGCTGTTTTGGTTACTATAGCCTTATAATATAGCTTAAAGTCCAGTAAAGTGATGCCTCCAGATTTGTTCCTTTTGCTTAAGGTTACTTTGGCTATTTGGGCTCTTTTCTGGGGTGTATTCACTTCGTATTCATCAAACTAAATTCTTGTGAATTGTGCACTTTTTTATGTATATTATACATGAATTTAAAAGAATACTAAAAAAATGATTATTTGTTCCTATTCATGGACAAATGGAAGATCAAATCTAAACTTCTACATCATGGTGTATGCTGAATTATTTCACTCTGGAAGGTTATTAAGGTAAATGCTACCTAATTTTCACCTTGGATATAAAAATTCTCAGTAAAGTACTCATGGGACGTTAATTTTAAGCAAATAAATTTTCTGGTAAGGACTGTGAGAAACGTGGTTACAAAATGCCCTCCTAAATAACCAAGTTGACTTGCGGTATAGGGGTATTTGCTATAAGCCAGAAAATGCAGGGGAATATCAAACAAAAATCAAAATTCTAGGTGTACTACACTAAATTTGAAAGTAGCCTTTCTAACACAGCATCAACAACAATAATGAAACCAATACAGCAGACAAGCACAACTAATAATTTAATCATACACCTCTCATTTTCTTCCCAATGCTGTTTAATTTGTATTCAATGAGAGTAACAATCCACTGCCCCTAGATGAAAGCTGCAGCAAAGCTTTTCTATTCACTTTTATGTATCAGACAGTCCTACTTTTACTTGAAATCATGAACACAGTCTCAATTCAAGCCTAGAATACCCAGTCCAATATGTTAACCAAAACACTCTCCTACATGTTTGAATGTCAAATCTTCTCCCCTTTCATGGCCCAGGCCAGCTTCAGGCTGAAAGGCAGCAGTGGAAAAGGTGGTATGTGCAGCTTCCTCTCTGTTTCTCTCCCTAGAGCTTCTCCCTCCCCTTCCCCTTGCCAGGTGGCTTCTGAGTATCCAGGATAAGGGCAGAGCGAAGAGCAGGTAAAGGATGGAAAGAGTGTCCATAGATTGGCACCAACGTCAGCAGCTTCACACTCTGAGCCTGCTGGCAGACCCTGAAGCCGACTCTTCTCTCTTGACACTTATGCAGGCTCTTTGGAGCTTCCCCATCTCTGCAGGATCTCTCACTGAAGTTACTAAGATGCAGGTGTTTCCCAGGCTGCCTACATCCAATCACCTCTCAGTTTCTTGGGCAATTCACCCATCACACTCTCCCTCATCCTCTGGCAG